TTTTTGCTTTGAGAAATGAACTGTCGTTTTCGCGAATTAGGTGCAAATGGTAGCAAATTTGATTTCGATCAGTGCTCGCTTCGATAGAAATGCGACGTTTAATTGTTACAAAACATAAAAAATGCGTTGCCGCCCAGGAGTGGCCGCTTATGGATACGACCAAAGATTTTAGTGCGTATTGTCGGAACAAAAATGATGAGTCAAATCTAAAGTTTCGAGGGAGAAAACAGTTTTCGAAAATGGGGAGACTCGAGGGAAGGTCTCCCGCAGGTTGAAAATTCACCTTCTTTTGTGCTTTGAGAAATAAACTGTCGTTTTCGCGAATTAGGTGCAAATGGTAGCAAATGTGATTTCGATCAGTGTTCGCTTCGATAGAAATGCGAGGTTTAATTGCTGCAAAAAGGTAAATAATGCGTCGCCGCCGAGGAACAATTAACGGAGGTCGCGGGAGAATTGCGGATAAAATTGCGCAGCATCCTATGTACATACCTGATAGCGAAAGGTAAATGTTACGTCCAGAGTCTTATCGTCGCTTAACATCCAAGTCACGATCGCGAAAAAGGACGAAGCGATCGTCGATGGACACTTCCTGCCCCGGGTTTTCCCCGGGGGAACCGAGATCCGCGTGTCGTTCCACCCGCGGAACGATCCACCGGGCTTCGTGCTTTTCATCCCCGTCCATAAATCACTGTCACTAGGGTTGAGCGAAACGTATTTTCCCGCGGAAACGGCATTTTTGAATTCGATTCGGTCGCGCCGACGGGCAAATAGACGAGGTACGAGCGCAAGACGGGCAAAAGGTAAAAAGCCTCGCCGAGAAAGGCGGAATCGATGCTCGCTAACCGCGTTGTCGTTGTTCGATAGCGGACTTTACGTGCTCCGCGCGTACATTTTTTACCATGGATTCGGCCCGCATAAATTCGCCGCCAGGTATCTCGCTTCGGCGACAAGTGTTGGCGCGCCCGCGCGCGCGCGCGAGAGGCGGTCTCGATACTCTCGATCGACAAAGAGACGGCGGACAGGATTGGAAATTTCGCGAATTGGAACAACGTTCGTGACCGTGGTCAGCCAACAGCTCTCTACAGCGGCCCCGGCTCCTCGGACCGTCACGTTTCAACGGGCTACATCCACGACGAGCGGTTCGCGACAGGTCAATATTTTCGTCAGTGCACAGTCGCTCGGAGCACGATTTATTTGTAACTGTCGTTACATAACAATTTCCACGTGTACGCCACGTTCGTTCTCTGCATGCACCGCGTACGCGCGAGTAATTTATAGCGTACGCGATCTTGCTCTCTTAATCATCGTCACTTTCCGTCGTCTTAATACTCGAAAATTTCATACGGGCCGGTGTACGTGTGTACGTAGAAAAATACTTCTCTGCGCGTTGGTAAACAGTATTGTAAAAATATAGCGTGATCCGGTTACATTGACTACTGTATCCCCTTTGGGGATGCGGCTTCTATTTGTTTTTCCGATCATGGATGAAAGAAATCAAATACAACCGAACGAAGTTTTGCACTTCTAATAACTTTTAAATAAAACATTTTTCTATTTGCGCTTCGCGAAGCTCCGGGGGATCTGTAAACGAGCTTTATTAAACTACGGGGGAAAAATGTGCAACTTTGAAATGAGCTCGGAAATGCCGAATACACGCGTAAACTGTATCTGTGGATTTTTCGAAAATTCCTTTCTCGAAAAGGGGGAATTTATGCCCCAAGAAATCTGATAGCTGCTATTTTAGGGAAATATTGTCGCATGGCCGTAATTATTTTCGAAAGGCCATCAACCTCCTAGATCAAAATCGAATATAATTATCGGAGATCATAAGCGCGCATTGTCCTCGATCATCTCGCGCGCGTTTACAGTCAGCGCATGATGATGGACATACTCGATTTGGAAATTTCCGAAATTGGAATAACGGCCCTCTGGACGCGGTCGGCCGATGCGTACAATATACAGTTGCATAACTGCCAGTTTCAGCCGGGACACGACGCGCCATGAATAAGTCTCTAACCGCTCTTGTTGGCCCGACATTGTCAGCCGAGCAGCTTTCGACAGGTCATCCCCCTGCTTTCCGACCCCCGCCGCTGTTGTTGGGTCTTCTGCGAGCTCTCGTTATGACGCCCGTAATGAGAACGTCGAAATTCAGTCTAACCCCTTTTAACAGCGTCAGTGCAACGGCGGATCCGATACATATATCTCGACGAGAGGGAGAGAGAGACATCGGCTCGGTCGCGTAACGATTCCGAGGATAAATTAACGAAACTGTAGACGATTGCGGAAAAAGGAAAGACGACAGTCGGTGCTTCCCGAACGTGACTGTCTCGGTAAATATATTAACGCAGACGAGCGACACTCTCGAGGATCTGCTCTTGAGAAATAAAATTTAAGGGGTCATTCCACTTTAACGGCCCAAAAACTACGCTTATCTTTAATAATTTTTTTCACAGTAAATACACCATACAATGAAATAAATCTTTTTGGGACAAAAAATTCGTGATCTACATATATGAGTGTCGCTATGTCCCGAACCTCAATTAAGAATTTTTATTTAAAAATAACAAAATGGTGCCAGTTTGTTATTTTTAACTAAAAATTCTTAATTGAGGTTCGGGACATAGCGACACTCAGAATCTTTTTGATATTTGTTTCAGGTTTCAGGTAAGCCTGAAAATTATCAACGCAGCGGACTTGCATCTTTTTTCACACGCCATTCGAACGGTGTAGAAAACGCTTAATTAAAAAATTGTTTAAATTATGACAAAAATTTTTATGTGTTATTTAAGAGTGCCCTAACGAATCCCAAAAAGATTGATTTCATTGTATGGTGTATTTACTGTGAAAAAAATTGTTAAAGGTAAGCATAATTTCTGGGCCGTTAAAGTGGACTGACCACTTCATTGACAAATCTCCGCAATTGTAATTCAGACAATTTGCAAAACAGTCTCGACGAGCCGTAATACTTTTTAGACCGTACAGGAAGAAAAGAAAGGAAAGATAGGAAGGATGGAACAGCGAAAGTCTGTTAAGTTGGCGCCCCGAAGTGCCAATTTTTACAAAATTGATATGGCGCTTGATTATCCGCAATTTATCCAGAGATTGTTTCGTCCGCCTTGCAAAAAATTTGTTCAATTTTCTTTATACTTATTTATAATTTTTTTGGCAAGGTGAATAAAAACGATTGTTTATGAACGAATTTGGACAAATTGCGAACAAACGTTCAAGTGCCATATGAATTTTGCAAAAATTGTCGGAACGTCAACTTGGCAGACCTGGAAAACTGACATCTTTAAACTTTGAGCCGGTAGCTCTCGGTTGTTAAAACCCCGCAACTTCCTTTTCTGTGATTTTACAAAATATTTTCCCGCGAAGTACATTATTTTCAGCGATAGCGTTAAATCGGGTCGAGTGAATTTTGCTCTCGTAGCGCATTTTCGCCCTCGGCTTATATAAGTGAGGATCGCACAAGGTAGAAAGGCGGTGCCCGCTTTCTCGGCGTGCCTCTCTCAGCAGTAAAGTAAGTTCGCCGCAGTCATCCGGCGTACTGGTAATTAAAGTAATGAAGGATAAACCGCCCGAAGTAACTCGTGTAATTTATCCGTGACTGCTTCCCGACTAGCTCATTATTGTACTTTGACCTTCTTCCGCGCGGATTCACGTCTGCCCCCTCTCGCCCGGCTACGTACGTCTAATTTTTACAGCCGTGCGTCTGCAAATAATTGTTTTAGTCGAAACGGTCGAGGGAGAGCGGCAGCGTAACGCGATCGTCGAAAGGCAGAGATAATTCTCGTATCGGGGAACGCGGAGAGACCGGCTGCCGCGTTTCGCAAAATAATTCAAACTAAACATTTGTTCGCGGGGAGAAATGTGTCCGAGATAATACGGGGAAGAATTTGAATAAATGATATTTAATCAATAATAAACACGGGTAGTTTGGTTTAGCGTGATTATTTCCGGCGTCTTTCGCGCAAGAGCCCAGCGGCGAGGAGCCCTCGCTCTGTTATCTCGGCAAAGAGACACCGTCCCCGGAAATACCGTGCCAGGGGCTGCATCATTAATCTCGCGCACGCACATATTAATTAACTTTTTCAATTCGCGCCGCTCGCGCGCATAATGGACGCACTTTTTACAGCCGCGATCGCGTCAAGGTCGTACCTATACACACTGAATAATTGAGGCGGACGAAAATATAATTCACCGAGCGGTGCAACGGATAGAAGAATCGCACGCGTCGTAAAATTACCGCGGTAATGCCGGGGATACGCGGAGTTCCGGTGGTGGGCCCATAAAAGTTTCAAGCAGTTTTCTAATTTAAACTCCCGATGCTTTCTGCTTCATTAAAGCCCTATCTTATCGAGCGGAAATATTCATGTAAATTGTGGCCTTGGTGGGCAACCGTACGTTCGCAAGCTGGCGCTCCGCGGGACGGGCATTATTTCCATATCGACTTTTATGGCGACGAAAATTTATCGCGGCGCGGGAGCGCGGTGTTTTAAAAAAGTATTTTCGGAGGACGAAGGGAGACGAAATCATTTTCGGATCCCTGCTCGCGGCTCGCGTACTACTTTAAGTCACCGCGTTGACAAGCTGCTAGCCGTCATTTTGTCACCGCAGCAAATTTCGTTTTCTATGACTCTTTCGGAGTCCTTTTCAAGAAAAAGAACAAATGTCTTTCATCACTCTGGTAGTGATTAGTCTATTAGCATTGAAAAGAATGCAATGCCATTTTCAACCATTTTATAAAACGTATCAGAAGTTAATTTTTGTAAAACTCGATATACCGCTGAGAAATGATATTTCTTCAACTTGATGTTGGCATTAATTGCATGTTTTATGTTGCAATTACATCTCCGAATATCTTGAATATTTTGAGCTTGAGAAATGTTGACGCCAAAGAAGATGTAACTCGATCTCTATGACATTTCTATTCTAATCGATCACCTCGCGGTCTCATCTGCGAGTCTCAATAAAGTCTCATCATAAATTCTTTGCCTCAGGACACCAACGGGTCTGGAGGACGTCAGCAAGTACCCGGAGCTCTTCGCGGAATTGCTAGCGCGTGGATGGTCGGAGAAAGACATCCAGAAGTTGGCTGGTCTGAATCTTATACGGGTGTTCAAGGCGGTGGAACAGGTAAATTATTCTCTAGTCGAAGAGGGAAAAGGATAAGAGGATCATCTCTTCTCACGTTCAACTTCTCGCATCGCTTGATGAAAAGAGCGGACGCGTATCGAAAGTGGAAAAGTTGCATCGATGAAAGGAAAGGAGAGGCGAGAGAGAGAGAGAGCGAGAGAGAGATAGAAGAGGACGGAGGAGAGCGCTCGTTTCTGCCACGAAATAACCGATGGCCTGGTTCGGGTTAGCCGAGTCGACCAATATCGGATTTAATAAAGCACACAAATCATGCATCCGGCCTGCGCGCTGCATCGTCGGACGAGAGAGAGAAGCCGCCCGGACGGACCGTGATTTTTGTTCCCTTGGAGTGCTGCCAGTCGTAGAACCAGCTGGCACCATCCACTAACCCATCCGATGGGTCTCTTTCTCTCTCTCTCTCTCTCTCTTGTTCGCGCTCGTGACGTACAGCCATGACTACATATGACGTGTGTATTAAACGGCTCTGAAGTATCGTTCAGCATCGCTCAACACTGACGTTTCATAATATAAGTACACTTCGCGAAAGATAAGCTCGGACGTTCGAGGGAGAGTCGTGCACCTGGAACCCTCTTACGCCCGTCAACGTTAATTAAAACTCAACGCTCGGAGCGCACTGTTACGTATGAAGTTGCGAGAACCGCAATTGTTCTCCGCTCGACAAAAAAGGAGAAATAATTAGTAACAACTTTTTTTTTTACCGTCTGGTTTCCGAACAACGGGAGAGATAACGTCGATGCAAACATCGCCGAGGATTGAAGTCGCGGTGCCCGACGGATTGAAAACGATGAAATCTTGCCCGTTCGTCCGTTTATCTGATTATAATATTACGTCGACACTCGTTAATCGGGAGCGTATCGTTAAAAACAAAATTGGACTGCTCAGTCATTATTCTCGAATGCTTAACTGAAATTGAATTAAACTCGCTCTAATTTAATTCGGCTTCTGCACTTTGGCCACTCGATTAATGTCTCGTATATTTCAATGTTAAACGCCCAGTTTCGCCAAGTGCAGTCGAATGCAGATCGTCCTACTAGAATTCCGGCGCGCCTGAAAATGTTTCAGTCCTGATATTACCCGGGTGGTACACGCCCCGACAGGAATGATGTGAGAAATTATGTGCGCCGGATGTTCCGGATGTTTGAGGACGCTCAGGATGGCCGTTGTTGAAATTACTGTGATAATTTAATTGCGGTGCGGTGTGGTCAACGGAACCGCGGGTTATTCGTCCGAAGCAGGAGTCGTTTATTATATTTGGAGAAGAATGTGTGTTATACTTGCGCATATACAGATACATATATTTGAATTGTAATGTAATAAACGCGCCGCGGTGAATTACGCGTAAAAGCGTAAATTTCCCGTTCGCGTGGCAATTCTGGGGCGTCGGTTTCCGTGAAGAACAAAGACCTAGCGCGCGATCGCGCGCTGCCTAACGGATAGCCGTGGAATAAAAATTATCCCCTGAATTCTTGGGCGATTTATCGTCGCGTCGCGAAAAACTGCGTCGCGCTCGCGGCTTTGAGGGACGCGACGGGGAAGCCGCGCGGGACGGCACAATGGAAGCCTAATGGACGCGTATTACACGTTGAGCGCGCCTCCCCTCCGTGCCGTTTTAAATTATTCCAATCCAACTCGACGGGCGCAATTTCCCAGGCCCGGCCGCGGAGAGTATTATTTGATTATCGGAATATGAAAATGCGACTCTCCACGCCGGGGATAATTTGTAGCGCGAGTCACGTGGAATTTCCGCGCTTATGAATTTCCTTCCAGTTCCCTCGGCTCGGGAGACGGCAACTCGCCGCGAATTCGCGGAGAAGTCGGCGCCTTCTTACCTGAGACGCGCGCGCATACACACGCGTGCGTACACACTTGCGCCTCTCGCTTTTCTCATCGCGATGAGGGCGGAGGGCAAATCCTTTGAGCAATTCCAACCCACCTCATCGCCGTTTTCCGCCGCCCCAACCGTCGTTTACGGTGTGGACCGGGTTACGCAGCAGGCGAGAAACGTCGTAATTGCTGAAATAATGGTCGTGCCTACGGTACGGCGCCGGGCGAACAAAACGGTGGCGATTACGTTACCTTGAAATTCAATTCCGCCATTGTTCCTCGCACGAGAGGAACGGAATCCGAAGGAACTTTGATACTGTTTCGTAAGACCGCGACTACTACACCCCCTCCCGACAAACGCTCGCCGTAAGGAGTCGTCCGGAAACAGTCGTGCAAATTCCTGGGGCGTAATGCAATCAGTGTCGTGCGCACTCGTATTATGTAAATCGCCGCGCCACTTCGAAACACGCTTATGTCTCGGGCTCCTTTTTCCATTTACTCCTCTCTTTGTTCTTTAAGATAAATTGTAATAACTGTGATCCGCATATTTCTCTCTTCCGCGTATTTCTCCCTGAAATAAATCCCTCTAAGGGATTTATTTCAAAAATGTTGCGAAAGAGGTTTACACCGTGTGTGTGCTGTGTTTTCCTTTCCTTTATAAACATGCGCTTTTGCGTACAGTGAAGATCTTTGCCTCTGCATTGTTACAGAAATAGAAACAGAAACGGAGGAATAGAAACGATAGAAATGACGCTTTAATTATGCCAATAATAAATTTACAATCGCTTTTAATAATTATTTGTTTACTTGAAAGAAAAGTAATTTTATAGAAATTAGAAGAAATTACGAGGATCGTCCTGAAGCAACTGCAGAAACATTGATAACATTACACCACCAGTTGTGCCAAGAACGTACTAATGTACGATCTAACACGAATGAATGCAACAGGGATTTACTTGGAAAGCGGATAGAAGTGACGCTTTAATTATACCAATAATAAATTTAGAATCACGCCCTTTTGGTAATAATTTTTTTACTTAAGAGAAAAGTAATTTTATAGAAATTAGAAGAAATTACGAGGATCGTTTTCGTTCCAAAGCAACTGCAGGAACATTGATAACATTACACCACCAGTTGTGCCAAGAATGTGCTAACACACGATCTAACACGAATGAACGCATGGATTTACTTGGAAAGCGGAATTGAGTTTCGATCTTTTTCTCAAGATTTTTCCCTATCATTATCAAATTCCTTCCATTAGCGGAGCCACTGATGAACAGTCATCAACGTGCCGCACGCAATAATGCAATTAGCATCCGCGCATACCGTGCCATTATCGGCCTGCTATCGTACCGATGTTCGGCCGCTGCAAAACTTTGCGGGAAACGCTCGGTCCAAATTCCGTAATCATATCATCCGTATTTTATCTCGTCGAAACAACCTTTACGTCTCGTAAATGTCGAGGCATGTAGAGCGCGTCTCGGTGCAAGTACAGGTATGATGCACTATCTCGGTGCACTATCGTCCGACAAAGTATCTGTTTTCGAGAAACACGAAACTGCGATCGAGATACATAACTATAAATATTACATAGTAAATATATTTACAGATAATGTAACATGATATATTACATTATAATTTGATATGTCCCGGAGTATAATTTTTCACGTACATATTGAAACGGCGTATCGGTTTCGAGCAACCGCACTCGGTCGCAATAATTTAAAAACAATTCTCGTTCGTGGTGCTTGATTTTTAAAAGAGAAACCGAGAGCTTTCTGTGAAATTGAATTCCAACGAGGATATGAATCGTAACGAGACGTTGACACATAAAGACTCAGATCCATTAATAACGTAAGCTTATATTTAACGTGTGCTCTTGCACGTGAAAATATTTTCTGAAAGTGCATAAATTATGGTATCATGTGCATCACAAATTTAATTTTTTACCAGTACCAAACTCAATGTTACAGGTATTAAATTTGAATGTTATGGTACATATTAAACGCGAAATTGCTCCCATTAATAAACAGACAGATACAGATCTGCCGGCAGTTGAATATCCTATTTTGAACTTGCTTCCTCTCCCCTCACATTAATTTCGTTATCCCCTTCTCCTTCCTCTCAATTTATTCCTCCTTTACTCCTCATTTCGGTAACGCCACTCAGCAAATGTTCAACACGATCTTAAGTAGGTATCTCTTTTCCTTTTCTATTTCACATGGCACTAATTTTTCTTTTATTTATTTCCATCTCTTGCGTCGCGTTTTATGTATGACCGTTCCATTTTTTCATATTTTATATTATTGACTGCGTAATTTCTCGTATTAATTGTATTCTGTTACCTATCACGCGCTAATTTATATCCTTTCCTCTATACTAAAAATTGGTTCAGTTAGGACCGAAATGTCCATTCATTTTCTATTTTAATTAAACTTTATTTTACGCTACAATTGCGTAGGCTCTGAACCCCTTCTATGAATACTTCAAATGTTAAAGTTGAGGAATAATTTTCGTTTTGCAGTATTCAATTGTAAAAACTTTCGAATAAAAATGTACAGCTTTCATCTTCGTGCAGTTCTCTCTCCAATTGAAGAAAATATGAACAGTAACGAGAGAGTCTGTGTACATTTATGAAGAAAACTCGTCAACGTTCATTAACTCTTAATCTCTCAGTCACCTTTCTTCGTCTATGATATTTCGGGGAAAAAAAATATCAGTTTTAAAGCGGAATGCATGGAGAAATTGGCGAAGAGGAGGATATTACACCTGCGAGACGTCCGTATTGCTGGCATTTATACCGCAAGTGCCGTAACGTTACGCGCCCGAGGCACGAAAGCGACAATAAAGGCGGATTTGATTAGACTGTCGACGTTCTCCTATATCACCCTTTCATTTCCTTTTCTGCGTTGTCTCCTAGCCGGAGATGCGCGCCGCCATCGCTCTCTGTATTCGTTTAATTGGAAATTCAGCGGGGCGGCAAAATGAAGCTTTACATACGCGGGGTTTACGTGTCGAGTGTTGAACAAAAATGACGCATATAAATGTCTAACGCAGCACGTGATGCGTTACGTTATTTTTCTAAATCGCTTCTCAATTGTGCGTTACATTAAAATACATTAAAAGGAGAAAGAGAGAGAAGAGAGGGAGAGAGAAATAAGCCAATTAATGCAATGTTCGCCTCAGATGGTATCAAAATTATCGTGGTATTTCTTAAGCATTTCGTATTTCTATATCGATAAGAGGAAAAGTTGACAAAGCCTCGCGACCGTTCTTTTACCTAAACAGGAATTATCGTAGGCAGATTTCTCTGGCCTTCCAGACAATAGCCGTGTATGCTCTTCCGCTCGCAGTATTGGGTTTTCGCTGCGCAGGTAATGACCGAAAAATTGCAGTTGCGTCTACGCGGCGTAAATATTTGTGATAAAACGCCGTTTCCTGTGACGCTCGTTTAATTGAAAAACTGCGGGTGGATTTCGGGGCGAGAGTGAAATTTACGCCCGGCCGTCCTAATATGTATTCCGGGATCGACCTCGACATAGGAGAACGTCGTTTTCTTACTTTATGAAAGCGAGATAAATTTTACAAGGCGCGGGGAAAAAAACGTGGCCGGCATTTCCAAGTCAATAAAAGCTTTTTACATCCTGACGCTGTATCGATAAATTATTTCCGCACAAATCAGGAGAGCTCTCCTCTCTGTTTCTCCGCGCCGTAAAGAGAAAAAAAACCTCACTCCTCGGAGCACCGCGGGAAAAGCGCAGGATCTCAAATGTAATGACATTTTTTACGCCTCTCTTCTATATGAAACATTCATTTCTTTCCATCTCTTCTTTGCATATTCCAGATGCAGCGTACTTTCAATCTGTTTAATTAACGAGGGCAACATCTATTCAAGCCTATCAATCACCAAAGTACAACGAAACTCCCTATAATTAGTCTAGAAGAGAGCGAGTACGCAGCGAATAACGAAACCTCGTTCGAGGTCCGAAGTTTCCCTCTTTTTTTTTTTAACTCCCCTGTCATCGATCTCATTTTATCGCTGGCACCCGCGTGAATTCGCTGTCGATGCGGCGGACTTTACAAATGCGTTAATCTCCTCCGGAGATAGCGACTTTCGATTCGCGCGTACATTGCGGCGATTTTTCGTCATCACGCGGAATAGGGGCGGCGTGTCGCGAGCGTTGCGTCGCGTCGCTGACGCGTTCGTCCGCCGTCGAAAGCTTCGTTTTCGGGCAAAGCCCGCGGGAGGTTAATGGGCTTCGCCGAAAATTGATGGGCGCCGTGCATGCCCGTGTGAAATACGTACACCGCGCCGATCTTTTTTCCCCCGCGCGCCTCCCCCGTCCTCGCCTTTCATGGACGCTCGTTCCGAGGGGTAGGTGGGTGGACGGGGGGAGACTCGGAGATCTTTTTATTTCATCCCCTACAACGGCAATCGCGCCGGGCGCGATTTTTCCTGAGAACATTCGCGAGGCGCGCGCGGGTCTTCCATCTTCACCGCGTCCCCCCTCGCCCCCGGGTGGGTCTCAGAAACTCGGCGCGGCGTCAAAATTCATCGGCCTTTTTTCCACGGAGCCGCCGGAATGCACCGGAGAAAAATGGGGAGGGCCGGGCTCTTTCAAGCGCGCCCGTCGGCGCGCTTTGTAAACGTATCGATCTGCGCACCGATACGAGCAATTTAATCTTCTTACGCGCGTCTCGAGAGCCTCCGTATTTCCGGAGTTCAGGAGCACCGCGCCCAGCGGCGTGGGTCACTACGCTCGTCCACTTGCGACCCGCGGACGCGCAGGTACATACGTACGCGGATTACGGACGGGTGATCGACGGCTATGGACTATGATCGGTCGTATCGCGTCCACGAGCGCCTGGACGCCAGCTCGACGACTATGGCGCGACGCGTATCAAAGGGCTAAACGTATAAATCAGCGTAAGCCGCGCTTTAGCAGTCGATAAATCACATTTACTACATCGCAGTATTCTCTGTGTGTGTGTGCAGATTCGCGACAACCTGGCCGCGGAGGGTATGGAGCCGCTGGAGGAGGAGATCCCGCAGGAGGATATAATCGGCCGCGATTACTGCCGTTACAACATAAAGCGTCTGATGGCGCCTTAAACTGTCGGAATCCTCCTGGCGAACGCCGCGCAACGTAACCCGCAAACGGCCGAGTGATCGAAACGGAGAGATAAATCCTGGGAGAGAAAGAGAGAGAGAGAGAAGGGGGGGGCAAATAGAAGGACAGAGAACGGAAGGCAAAGGTTCACTGCCCCAGCGGGAGTAAAACTCACCCTTTACAACTTTACCCCCAAGTTCGCGAACCCGCGTCTCGCCCAGAGACGACACGTAGATATGCACACGTTCTCCTCCTCTCTCTCTCTCTCTCTCTCTCTCTCTCTTTCGATCCCTCTCGACGTTACCCATGCTTCTCATCTTTGTACGTAAGTAGGTAGATAAACTCGATTTCCGCCGGAGCCACGAGATGCGAGCGTTCGCGAAGGATATCGGGGCGGTCAGTGGAACGTCGGTGCCGCGACTAAAGGCACGACGCCGTGAATAAAAATTGCAGTTGGGTCGACCAGGCGCGTTATTCCTGGAGACGAAGTAACGTCTGACTCGCTCGTTTCACCTCCCGTCGCTTTTAGCTCCCGTCGCTCGACCCGCCTGACGCGAGTGAAATTATAATTGTCTCAGCGTATCTGTTGCATGTAATATGTGTATGCGTAATCTATGTTTATATATTATACGCGAGCTTCTCTTATTGCGCGTTATTACCGTCGCCGCGGCGATATTCCGGACGACGACGCTCCGCGACAAATGTTCCGACAGCCTGACGTCTCTCGGGGGGGGGGGGAGGAAAATTGCAGCAGCTGATTGATCAATTGTGCCTAATCGCTTCTACGTCTGCGCAGAGACTGGGGAATGCCATTGAGGAAATTTGATTTGAACCCGACCGACTTTGCCTCGCGTTTGAAAAGATATCGTCGTATTTATTAACCGTGTCCGCAGTCTAATCGATAATAAGCAATAATAACGGTGCGTCGTGTATTAATGAAGCGATGGCCCATTAATTCGAAACTACCCGCGAGTAGTGCTATTGTAGTGCTATTGATTACTCGAACGGGCTATTGGCGAGGCCATTGTACAATTTAATTACTTACCCCTAGAAGCAAAATCAAATGTGTGCTGTATGATGAAATGCATGCAGAATTACGCTAAGTGCGCTCGATAACACCAACGTGCAAGCTTTACAGTAACTCAAATTGCTGTTCTTGTCCATCGTAATCGCTCGCCTGCTCATTTAAATTATTTAATTTAATGCCTATTTGCGTCAAAGAGCAAACGCCCCCGGTCCGCTACAGTCGGAATTCAACTTTGGACAAATTTTCGCAAATAAGAGTGCAGGATTTTGCGCGTAAAACGATTGAAAACCACCATGGTATCCAATTACAGTGCTGCGGTACTGATACGTACACTCGTCATGCGATAGTCAAGCGAGAAAGCGTGTCTCGCGTGCCCCGCTGGTAAAAGAGAGCCGATTGGCTGTTAGTCGAGCTGTTAATGCGGCTGGGAAATGACTAAAAGCGACGGGCGAAACGTTCGAAATTGGCGCGATAACGAGGCGGAAACGTACACCTTATCACTGCGATACGAAGACCAACGCGTTTGTATAAACGTTTAACAATTTAGCCACGGGCATACTCGATGTTAAAAATTTGTACTCAGCGATTTCCTCGTCGAAGCCGGAACCAAGAAAAAAAAACACTGTCCTAGTCAATAATTATGCTACGTATACATCACGACCGATTACTTACGACGAAACCGTACAGTTTTGTCGATTATTCGAGTGCGAGTGGACGACCGTTGAGAATGTAAAATCGTGTACGAGAGAGAGAGAGAGATACGAGTGCTTTGCGTGCGTGTGTGAACCTGTACATATGGTACCTGAAGTCGAAAAACATATTATTCCTCCAGCACGTCAAGCCGGCCATGTTGGATCGGAGAACCAGGTCACCGAGTGTCCTCGATCCTTTTTAATCTAGACGCAAAGAGCGCGCGCCAAGTCGATGGGTAGCTAAAAATTTACGTGTCTCGATTGTAACTGTCTGTTTTTTTTTTCCATTTTACTCTCCAAACCCGACCTCTCGACCTCGCCGGCCGCGATTCCAGATGGTGGGCTTGACCAAATCGCGATCATCGGGGAGCCACGAGTTGGGGCTAATCGCGGAAGCGACTCTGCAGCGGCGTCGACCAACGTCGGCGGGCACGTTGCTCGATAAAATGTAATAAGCCTTTCCTACGATTTTGCACGATCGAAGTTGACGTCGCCGTATATCGCGCGTATACGTCGGCGCGTGTCGCGAATTGAACGAATGAACTTTTTTAATTCCTATACCGCGGCCAATACCGCACCGCCGTACGCGCGATTTCCGACGAGTCGCAAGGTATTTTTATCTCGCGCCGCGGCTCTGCTCTCGCATAAACTGTTTTGCACCAAAATTTCATCATAGCGGAGAGCTCGGTGATTACATCGGAGCCTCGAATGAACGCATCGATTTCCCTTGTGCCACGACGATATGGTCGTTAATTCTCCATTGCGTGGCAAATTCTATTTCGACGCGAATCGTTTAACAAAAAAAATAGCGAAAAATGTGTCGGAAACGCATTTGCGAGTTACGTTTTTATCCGGAATAGAGGACAGAAATTTCATTACGTTTTTACCGGGCGATGTTACGCCCCGCAAAGGGCACGCGGAAATGTTGAAAATTTCAGATTACGTCGTTTATTTCTATTGTTGAAGTGCAACACGATACAATCGAGAGTTGATCGAGTCGGTCCCTCGCGCGGAACCTCGTTCGGCTAATTTTAACGATCATTCTCACGCGAGCGGAACGGGATCGACGGGACGCGAGTCTCGTAACTAATATCCTATAAGGTTTCGAAAGTTACTGGTATCTAAAATAAATCTCCACGGCAAATCGGACGCCGTCGTTGCAAAAGCGACCGAGTCCTCATTTATTTCGGTCCTTCTCCCCCACATCTCGGTAAGTACAATTCATAATTTGTAGCCTGAATTTATCGCGATGGGTCGCGAGATCTTGTGAAAGTTATATTTGCCTAGAAGAGTAAGAATATCGAAGTAAATCAGATCGAAAGATTGAGATCGTGGAAATATCACATTTCGTGATAATCAATTGAAAAAATAGGTATTCGGTAACGAACGTGCGTACTTAAATCTCATATATTTCACAAAGATATAAAATTATGTTATTAATTATAACTTCCGCATCTGAGCCGCATAAATTCTTTATCTGGTTCCAGGAATCGGATAAAAAATTCACGCGGCTCAAACGCAGAAGCCAAGTCTAATATTCATGTACACCGCGAGAGCCTCGCGTATAAAATTAATATCAATAATTTATCGTTTTTATGATTTCAATCCTAAACGGATTTAATTTCCTCGGATCATAGTCGCACAAAGGGAAACTAATTTACGTTCTTCCATAGGAAACAAACAAAAAATCGACGAAACTGATCATCGAGCGGATTCACGTGTAGATTCACCGAGCGAGAGCGGCGAGGAGGGTTGGAAAAAAGAGAGCGGGAGCGTCGTACGTCCATAGATGAGCGGACGGCTTTCAAGGATAATTAATTTCCCGGTCATTCCCGGAACCCTAACGAGCTCGTTAAAAAGTTTCGACACGTTTAGATCCGGATTCGACCATGGAAAAACCATTTAAGCTTCTTTCCACCGTCGGACTGTGGGGCTGAATGGACGACCAGTTTCTTCGCGCAACCCACAGCCACGTCTCGGAAGCAACTACTTTTTTCCCCGCTTTCCAATGTCTACCTCGCGCCGTTACGACCCACCCCCTATCTCAACCCCCCTCGTCTTGCCGCCCGCTTTTCTCGTCGTTCACCTCGCAGCCGTTCTCAGCTTTTTCTCGCCGTCGTTTGGCCGACACCCCGCCGCGGAAACATGGAGAGGACACGAACGACGGCAGGGGAGGAGGAGATATAAAAAGGAGAAGGGAAAACTAGCTGTGCAGAGCGAAGGAGCGTTGCGGAAGGTGACGGAAACGAAGAGGCCGCTGCCGAGAAGAGAGGCTGCCTTCGAGAGAGCCCGCTCTTTGTTTCGCCTCCCGGCGAGATATCGGCTAAGTTTACTGTGGAAACTCGACCTATAAATTTCATCCCTTAATACGGGACCGGGAACGTATAATATGAAACCGTCGAGTTATACCTCGCGGCCGTTTTAAGAAACGCCTGACGGCGTTACTCACTCGGCCCGCTCGCACATTCCCCCGGCGGAATTTGTTGGATTTCGCAAAAAGTTCGCGAACGATATTCCTGAGTGCTCCGCAAAGTGAGCGCGAGGCGCGGAGTAAAAAGAGGTCCTGAAGTTAAGAAAATTCTCTAGCCGCGCATCCCCTGTGTACATAGAGAGCGCGAGACTGAGCGGCTGTGAGGGAGAAGAAAACGCGCGCAATGCATTATTTTACTTACATGCTCGAGCTATTACTCTTAACAGAAGTAAGTTTAGAGTGGCACATTCGCATTAAAGATTTCCTCTACTTGCAACGTAATGAATAGTTTAATTTAACTGTTATTTTGCTCTTCACTGACGGAAGAGAATAATTGTATCAAAAGATCATTCGCCGAAAATCCGTATAATTACCCGAGTCGAAATTTTGGCCCTATGTTGAACCTTTCATTCTATTATATAGTATTGGATATAGGACCTAAGACATTCAAATAGCACATAAATAATTTCCGATAAAGTAATGAATCATTATTATATTTACATAGAAGTGATTTAGATAGAAACAAATTACCCGAGTAACTATTTACGTGAACGCAAAGTTATTAGAATTATTATGCAATCCTGTTTCATACGAGAATATATCTCAAAGTTATCTACGTTTAAAAAATGTACAATACTTTCCACGTACAAATGGATGAGCCTGGTTTGTTAAAATTGCGAACTTAATAACGGAATTACTACGCAGCGAAGATTCGTTACACAATAGTTTCACTGGTTAACCAATGCGCTCTGTTTGAAGCACTTGAGCGCGCAGAAAGCGCCTAAGGTGAACTAAGATCAGCTAGTTTCTCTCCTTAGGTGGATCAAGTATATCTCTCCGAAATTTCGGACTTGTGCGCGATACAAATATGAGTCTTGAATCTCTACAGTGCCTCGAGGTGGCATCGTGAGATACCGGCGAACCTGTTCGCTCTGCGAAGCGGCGGCGATGGAATTAATGCCGCATTTCTATGGAATTTGGCCAACACTGGCTCGGAATTCGGCTTATACGATCAAGGAATCGTACCTCGTCGCGGTGGGAGCAGGTTTACGATTCGGTCAATCGTAAACCTTGATTGCTCGGTCCTGCCGAGATCCTTCGTCCCGCAATGTACATAACCGCTGTTGGTTATCGCAATAAGATGTAGAGACCAAATCGTACAGATCTGACTCGTCCTCAATGCTGTAGCATAACGCGATCTCGACTTTATCTCATTCGGCCTATCGTAACGTTCATCCTAGGAGAGAAAACGCGCGTTTTATTCATCAAGAATTAGAAATGAAAGACCGATCGATGTACAATTCAACTTTGCTCGTGGAGACTCTTTACCAAAGTAATATATCTAGATTAAATCATAAAGAAAAGATGAAGTGCCCATGTTTCAAGAATTATAAAACGAGTTTTATGAATAGCCTCGGGTAACTTGGTTTTCCAACGTCACATATTTTCAATATTAAATCCAATTAAAATCTCCATATATTAAAAGTCGATGCGAAATTTCAGCGGAACTAGGCTCGACGAATTTTAAAATATGCTGTATATACACCAGCCTATTTAATTATTCAACGCGATCTTTGCTATTCAAAAGATGAGACATCACGTATGATCGCGTATTCGTAAACGTCGCTGCTTTATTTCCTCGATCACTCCGACACAAGAGTCCACCCCCGTAAGAGAGACAGCAACTTCTAAGCCTATATAACTCCATACATAATTTGTGACGTGTATGTATTCCATAAATAATGACGCGTACATTTCCATTGTAGATATTTATACACGATAGATTGTGGATGTTTGCGCTCTTCGAGCAGAACGTATCGTGGGGAAACGTTTTTAACGGATCAGCAACACGAGCACGAACAAGCCCGTTTATTTGCCGGTAGAAAAAAAAAAGAACTTTATCTTCGGCAACATTTGGAAAAAATAAATTCAGTCTAGAGATATATCTTCCGCGACACGATTGACACTTTGATATATATGTGGGAAGCGTCAATTTTTCACGGTATACGAAGATAGATGCATGCGGAACACATCTCGATCCCTTCGACATCGGGAAATGGCCTATCTGAAATTTTTGGGTAAAATTTCCTTACAAAGAAGTAGAGGGAATCTGAACAATATTTACGAACGCTAATCGCACCGTCTAGGAAGGTAGATTATTACTCGGATACAAGCTGCGCCAATCAATTACGCTGTTTCTCGAAGCTGTTCTAAAAACGGATTATATTTTAGATTTTAACTCGTCCTACGCAGAGAGATTTTCTCTGAATTTATCCTGAAAATCATGTGATCGTGGGACATGGCATTTTGAAGAATCTCAGGAGTTTTTTGAAATTTTACCATATTTTCACTAGTAAAATTTGTAAGTACAATTACTAGCGAAATGTATAGTAAAATTTCAAAAAACTCTCATAAAATTGCTTGAAATGCCGGGCTGTTCCACGATTACATAATTTTCCGGGTAAATTTTAAAGGAAATTCTCTCCGTGCAGATAAATAATAATCTCCATTTTTCAACACGCGAATGACTCGTATCCCGCGCACCGCGCTCTTTGTAATATCCCCGCGAAAAAATGGAACATTATAAGAAATCATAGATTGGATGTCGTGATCTGCTTACGCGTAATGCTATTTTAGAATAACGCAGCGACGCGATAATACTCGCGCGTATCATTCCTTCGAAGGCACATTTCTTCGGGCAAATAAAAGAAGAAAAAGGTAAGAGAGACGCGGAGATGGAGCTTCTTCTCGTTTCTCAGCTCACGTTCTCGGGCTTTGCGCGTCGCTCACTTCGGAAAATAGCTTCCGTTTACTTATTCTTCTCTTTCCCGCTTTATCGACTATACGTCTACCGCGATCTCGTTAATAAGACAAACCTATCGATGGATTAATGAATTGACGATACCGTCGCTCCTAGATTTAAGAGTTTATCGCGAGGATGATTTGGAGTCCGTCCTTTCTTACAGTTAGTGAAAATATCGAGAGAATCTATTTATCGTAAACATTTAGCTTTACATATTTTTTAGAATGCAATGCTCTCATTCAAAATTAGCAGCAGTATTTTTGAAGACATAAACTTTAAATAGATAGCAATTATATTTGAAATTTAGATTTCCAAAAATTGTTTCTCCCAATTCGCGGCTTGAAAGCATCGGACCGACATTTTCACCAGAGGAAATTCTAGAGATCGATTCTGAAAATCAATTACAGAATCAAAATTCAAGGCGCGAATCGCGCGGAATACGCTGCAAACGCGACGGAGCATCTCACGGCTCATTATTACACGTTGCGCCCGACCGGGAAAAAGACCAAAAAGATTTTCGGGCTATCGGAATAAATTCCGAGCGGCGGCGGGCGAGTCCCGGGGTCGAGAGAGCCGCAAGTATTTCCTCGCTCCCGCCGGATAGGCTATATTTTTTCTCCTTATTTCCGGGTCCCCAAACGTGGCCGCTATTTTTTTTCACGCCACAACGCTACACTTTATGAACTCTGCGCCCGACACGTCCGTTCATCTGTCCACCCGCCCGTCCATCCGTCCGTCCGGCAAGAACACGCGTTTTCCGCGGCAACGAAATTGAATGTCCGCGGTTTATGACGCATGCAATTGCGTATCGTTAACTGCCGGCGCGAAAGACAGGCATACACGGGGGCACATCGTTAGCTTTTTACGATCCGCGCTAATGCCTCTCGCGGAACACCTACGGCTGGACCCCCGAATTAACCTCGAGCGAGATCCGAGAACAACGCGGGAAATGCTAGGCAATTATGCGCCCGACGCGAGAAAGATCTTCATATCTCTTTAATTCTACAAATGTAACGCGAGCCGTACGGTATAAAATGTACAACTCCAGTTAATGCACACGTCTAGTTATATAACAGTTACTTAACAGTTTATTTGGTCGGAGAGAACAATGAAAAAAAAAACGCACACATTTCACTGAAACTTGAATTTAGTTTGAGCGTTGCAGCGTTAGTAGATAGACATTATTACACGAGATAATTTGTCAGGCTCGAATCGACTCGCGCAACGTCTCTTAGATCCAGAAGATGGTTATTTTGCACTCGGGCACACAACGTGTAAAATATATCATCTCCGGACACTGTCACAACTAAGGCCATCGCGCCAGGAAGTACATTATGTACCTACTATGCAGCAAGCTTAATAACAATGCGAAACGCTCGGTTCTTTGCCCGGTACTTTAGTACAATTTGATATTTACGGAGCAATATTTCAACTTTACACTCCGCGTAACACGCTGATTTATTTGCGAGACCACGGCGAGAAAAACGACGAGTTTTCTCCTCTTCCCCCTTTTTTCTTCCTCTCCACTTCCGCTTTATACTCCGGCAAGGATTTTCCTACGTTTCGCGTGCGTGAAACGTGAGTGAAATCGATATGTCTTTCTTAATAGGAAGATAAAGTCTGATTCCGCGTTGTGCATTGTGCCGAGACGGTGATTTACGAGCGACGATGATGTTTGGGCAAAATTTTATCCGAGCTGCGTCTCACCAATTCGACCATTGACCCGAGTCGAAATTTTGGTATTACTTTGACACTTTTTACTTTGATGACATTATATGTTTTTACTCCTTCCTTGAATCTTTAATTCTAAAAATTTACAATTACGTTGAGTCATCCACAACACAACTGGCTACAGGAAAATATCCTTTATCGTCACACAACATTTCGGCCCTTTTCAAGTGTGTCGGATTACTCAACCTAATTGTTAACTAATCACTGGCGATTTAATTATTCCAAATTGTGTCTAAAAATTTACTTTAGCTCTCACTTAAAAGGACCAATTTTATCCTCGCGATTTGCACGTTACCAGCCATTTCGCTCGTTACCAATGGCCGCTTCTCGAAAAACAGTACGTCTCGCGTGCAAAAGTCACCTCGGGACATTTGCAGTAACGAGCGAAATACATCGCTAAGTTAAGTGTCTGAATAAACCACTCTGACACACTTATCGTCCATAAGCTACCGAGCGAGCAAACAAAAAATCAGCAATTCGCCGAGGGATCGAAGAATAAAAAATATCATTAAATCAGCGCGCTCCGTACAGGGATTACGCTCTCATTCGTGACGTCCAGTTCAATCGATGCCAACGTTTATAACATCGTTATCGTCGCAATTATTGCTACACGGCGACGTTAAGCTCGCTCGTTACCGCTCGAGTTGATTAAAAGCTTGGAGCCAAATTGCGTAACAAAATTCGTTTCAAATTTCCGAATGTAATCGCGATAACGGCGATGTATCGGATTCGTCATTTTTTTCCTTCTTTTCAGCGGGCCCGTCGGGCGAGCGCAAAAGATGATATCGTCTACGGGCGCATTCGCAATCTACGTAAACGGGAACGGAGATTTCGTGGCTCGATACTCGACGTCAAAATGTGCACGTTGCGCGGAGTCGCGACGTGGCGGTGTCCAAAATGCGATTTCGAATCACGCCGGTGGATTTCTCGCGCGCGTGCCGGAAGAAAAAGATTTCAAACACAGGATCTTTAATTCTAAAACTTTACTCTTGTTTCTACTTAAAAGGACCTACTTTAATGCTAAATTGGCAAAAGTAGAAATTTCCGACACTATCAGTTTGAAAGTAGAAGTAAATTTTGTACTTGCAGTTCGACCTCTTTTACTGTCTTAGGTCCTACTATGCAATAGAATGAAAGGTTCAACATAGGGCCAAGATTTCGACTCGGATTATAACACAGTTTTGTTTAGATGGAATCATTGTCGTCAGCAAATCCACGTAAGTTAAGTTGACGAGCGAAAACAAGACTTCACGGTCCGCTACTCGATCCTTACGTGGCGCAAGTGCGCTTTTTAAGTAATTGAAAGGATCAGAGAATTGTTTTTACGTTAAATTCTCACATGGGAAACTCGGGAAAGGGACGTTGAGCGTCAACAGGTCTATTTTTCATCGAAAAATATTGGTTTTATTTGACTATCAGACTCTTCCGTACACATATATGAATCAACTTTCGTAATGGCGCCTGCAATTTGTACAAAACGATGGATTTCTCGGCAGTACGTGAGTACCGCGTGCTGACAAAGTGGAAACGAAACAGTAAACGGTCAACGGGGAAATCCCGCAACGACGCCCTTCGAACAGACAATACTGAGTGTAGACTTTGATATACAACGAGCGTCTTTCCCCTTCGAGGCGTTAACAGTAATATATCTATAATTACTTCCTTAGATCGCAACAAACAATGCGTGGGAGGTACACATTCCAAGCGTGAGACCGCAGACAACCGACCGAGGTCCTTAATTAATTAATAAGAATAAAAAATATGTGTCAACGTAACGAGAGTCGCGATAACAAAATGTACGTAAAAAAAAAGGTAACACGGTGAGGTAACGAGGTAATCGGGGATAACAATCCCGCCGTTCGGGGGAGGAACGAGGGAGGAGGGAGAGGAAAGAATTTCACTATTCGCATAAGAAACGTATTCTCGAAAAGGCCGGAAGAGATCCACTTATCGCGGTTCGTTCGGCGGATCAGTATAGAAACGACCGACGTGAAGAGAAAATTTTAGATTCGCCAGCCAATTATTCCCTATTGCCTCGAGGAACAGTAAAAGAGAAAGGGAGATAAGAGAAGACGGGAAAGAAAGCTTGACTACCAAGGTGGGAGAGAAGGGGGTTCGATCAGAGGAACAAGATAAATGGAACGGCTCGATCCACGTGACTTCCTTATTCCTCGCCTCCTTGGCCGCTTAGTTGCCGCTGGATTGTTCCCGCTTCAGCGAGCCGAATTCCTCCAGCATCGCCTGAAGTCCATCGGGGACTTGACCGGCGTCCAAATCCTGAGTCCACTGACGATACTGCAGAAAAATAACAAACGGTGGTGTGTAAAGTACGTGAGTTCCGTCTCTCGCCCACGGTCCGCTATTGTTCGCGCGCTAAACCGTCGTGCGCTGGAGATCTTCGGTGGAATCAGGAGGATTTTGGAAACAGCCCCGCGCGGATACGCAGGAACGCCGGACTTGTCGGGATTTTTCAACAACTCCTCTTACCCGCGGTACTCGACTCGATCGATACAGGACTCCGAAGCATCAATGTCAAAGATTCGCAGAACACCTCGTTAACGAATATTCCGTACGGCGTAGGAAGACGAGACAACCGAAAGCCAATTAGTACTCGACAAGCAAATAATTTTTCATTTCCAACTTTTTAGCGAGACCTCTACACGGAGAGACCGATATGGTTACCACATGTCTAATTAGGGTTGGTACAACCCCAGTAAATAGTAATATTTTGGACAATATATCTGTGATTGTCATACCCGCATTGGTACGATAAGTAGTGGAGACAACTCTATGCGTTTTGTGCAGCAACCGTAGAGAACGCTGCAACACAAAACAATGTAGATGCCCCTACCATTTACACGGTAACATTTTAATTTTAGTTCTTTCTGCCTTAGCCGGCCTTTACCGTGTACCAATCCATTGTTCCGTCGTTGAATTTCCAGATTCATTTCGGTAATCGCGCGAAGAAAGAACGACAATTTTCATATAAAACCACGGGAATTATTCGTGCGAAATAGTTCCCGCCCGCGAGAATAAAAATTCACCGCCAAGCGATCGCGTCAGGTACTCAAATAATTGTAACGAATACGAGTGCTTCTCTGCGAGAGCAAAACAATGAAGATGCGAATAATACTCCTAGTCGCATTGCTAAAGAGCGAACCTTTGTATTCCGCCAAGAACTTTACACTTTTGCGAGTAACTTGGTTTGCACTTCGAGGGAAGGTTTAAGGAAGACGATAAGGGAGACGATGGAAAAGAAAAAGTTACGAGGTTCTCCAGCTTCCGAAGAATTTGCTTTGCTTTACGTTCGAGATACAACTAATTCAAGGAACTTTAAGGCACATATTTTTCTATTAAAAAAAGGAAGAGTCCTTCCTTCTGTATTACAGCTTTGTTTTTATTTCACTCGGCAGAAATATAATCGAAAATTAAGACGTAAATTAATTTTCAGATATATTTCATGTCTTGTAAACACAGTAATTAATAAATATATAGTACGCCGCAGAAAGTGTTGCGGTGCCATTCCTTGTAAAATCTGAGGACTGTTGTTACGAGGGAAATTTCAAAATGTAAAAGTGAAAATCGTCGTCGTGAAAAAAAAACTGCATTTAAGTTTTACAAGGAACGGCGTATCTTCACCCTCCGCGAATTATTATAGAATACTCGTATAAATTTATAAATTTATTAATACGAGCGGCAATTCGTTTGTTATTTCATTCACGGTACGCAACTTATCGCGATAGCAAGCCGTATTTATCTCTAAAGGAGACAATCCTAGATTCTTCCCTAGGAACACTCCGTTCTCGTTCGTTCGTTTATGGAAGGGTACGACTCACCATCTCGAGCTCCTTCCGCAGTGCAATCACCGCCTTTTCCCGGTCGGCCACGAGCTCCTCCAGGTACTGATACCTCAGCTTCTTGCGAGCACGGCACTCCCTCGCACTCTGCCGGCTTCGTTCTATAACAGAATAGCAAACGAACGAGGGGTGAGAAAAGGCACGGGTCGATATTAATACGAGGCATCGATGCATGCAGAGCGCGGCCCGATCCTCGAGACGGAAAGTTCCCCGGCTCCCGAATTCGCGCCGGGCATATAAATTTCTCTGGTTTTCGGCGTCGGGTCGTGACGTAACGGGCAAGCCAAGTGGCAGATATATATATCACGAGCTCTACAAGAATTCACGATTTAATAATGTCGCCGAACGCGCAAGACGCATGGTAATGCCGCGGCATGTGCGAGCGAAAAGCGGAAACTTTTACGAAGACGGACGGTGTGTTACGGCAAGCTATGATTTTGTTCTCGAACGTAGGGGATAGGGGGGGGGGGATAAACGCGTCGCATGTCGGAGCGAGATCGAAAGGAATGCGAAACCGATTTAAATAACGACGTCGTTGCAATCCGAAATCTCTAATATTCAAATCCTCGAATCCCACGGTTCTAGAATTTTATCATATCGTTGGTTCCCGTGCGCTTTTCCTATTCCAAAATTCTCCGCGAGCATCGCGATCCCTGAATTCCGAAAGCCTCCCCCCGAGATCCTCGCGTTCTAAGATCCGATATTATTTTTATTTCTTTACTGTCTCCGCGGGCGAACTCGGCCGAAACTGGTCTTCGAGCGGCGGCGTGACATGACTTAACAAGTGGACAGCGGCCAGAATGGACTTGTTTTAATTTAAACGCTCGTCTCGCCGTATCTTTAATCAATGAAATATCAAAAGTAGTCATGGTAACAGGTCTTACTTATATAAATAATCTCGATTTAATTAGATAGATTTTACTCGTCGAGCAAGTGTCAGGCCCGGTCTACAATGAGTCGTAGACGTGTCGATGCAAACGTAATCTGCCTAAGGGCCTGAGCAGGAAGATTGTCGTAACCGTTTACGATTCTGTCGTAAGACTTAAGTCGGCGTCGGAAATCAACGCACTAGAGCCTCGTCTACACAGAAGTCGTAAAGTCGTAGTCGTAAGAATAGTCGACTATAATTGGTTAATTCTTATGTGTCTGACAGAATTGACCAATTACAATCGATTATTCTTACGACTGCGACTCGGCGACTCTCATTGTAGACCCCGCATAAGAATTGTCGTACGTTGCACCCATCGCATCGTGTCCCAGGCGATATACATCTGCGACAATTCTTTGTGCGTTGACTAAGTCTTACGGCAGAATCGTAAACGGTTACGACAATCTTTTTGCTCGGACCCTAATGCGGACGAATTGAAAACGCGGAGAACATGAGAACCGTCGAATTTATTAATCCTCGATTAATGAATGGGCGCGATCTGTTGATTTCTCACCTTCGCGCTGTGCCGTTTCACGAGACTCGCGCGTTCGAAGGGAATGGCGCGTGCGATTATTAAATCTCGATCGCGGTGTGGAGAAGATGGCATCCGCGATCCGTTCGCGTAATTCTTTCATCGGAACGCAATAAATCGCGTGTCGCGTGCGATTAATGCCGGGAGTGCCGGCGCAAAGTGTCGCGCGTCCGTTGTATTCTGACGGTAACTGCGCGCGCGATCGTAATTAATCGTGCTCTCGCGAGTGTCGTGTTGTGCAAATGCGACGAAAAGGATCTGAGAGGAGGAGGAAGAGGAGGCAGCCCGGGAGGGGCATCGGGTGACGCCGGAGCGACCGCGCGGTAATTTGTTTCTTATTTGTTACTTAGTGTTTGTAGAATTTACATTCTTTGCTTACGCGATTAAAATAAGAATTAAGAGAAAGATTAATCGCGAATTAGCATTTTGTTTAATTTGTCTTGACGAAATATGTAATTGTCTCGAGATGTCTGTTTTTTTTTGCAAAGAATTCAAACGTGTGCAATAATTAATTCTGAATACTGCTATAGTTTGCGTTTTATGTTTATATTTTGCAGATCAATCAGGCGCAATGTAAGTACAAATCCACCGCTGTCGGTGAGTGACAATTAAATTTTTTAATTAAAGTAGTGGATCTATGAAAATTGTATCGTAAAATGTTTCTACGTGCAAGCACACATAAGAATACTGTTCAGAGTAACAAGAATGATAATTCAGCCAAGTACATATAAAATCTCATGTAGATCCAATACTTAAAGATGGACAGACCAAAGCAGATTAATAAATATACTTCTGGAATTTTCTATATAACTACTCGATTTAATGCGCGTAGGAGGACATGCGCGTGTACGAACTCATAAAAGTGAGTTCGACATGTTAATGCGTTATTTATTGGAACATTTTAATCTCTCGTAACATGACTGAATATTAATTACGAGATACACTAATTGTTTGATATTCATATGAAAAATTCATAAATATTTGCCAAACGTTTTGTGCAGTGATACAATTTTGGGGGAATGCAATTGAAAACATTATGAAGTTATAAACGTATTAACGTTAATTTAGGTGACACATTTCTTGTATCGAGATAAACGTTGAATCGATTTTAGAATTTACTGTGGATATAGAAAAAAGAAAATGTGGAAAACAAAACAATAATAACTAAAATACTGATATTTCGGGAATATGCATAAAATTCTTATTCGAATTTCTTCATGATATTTGTAGAGCATGAACAATAGTCAGAAGATACTTGTGTGTATTACTTTTGCAATATAATAAATAAAAATCGATACCGCCGTAGAACATGGTAGCAATAAAGCATTTTATTTTGCTTCCTATCTTCTCCCCGCATATATCTTACTGAAATTCGAGGCCTGCGCGAGGTTTGGCCCATTTGTTATTCCTTTCCAGAATTAAATATCGTATGTTATATTATTGCAAGAAAGCAACAGCTTTCCAGGACTTTTTCAATATATAATACATCACAAATGTATATGTAAAAGAAACATACACGATACATTAGAGTCCCATAACACAATCCAATTAATTTATCTAATAAAAAAAGCACGCTAATAATTATTAGCTGCGCTTATTCATGTGTATAATACGCCAATTTTATCCCAATTTTTCACAGTCTATCCATCTATTTATTGCTAACTCGATATTTTATATAACTTTATACCAATTAAAGCGGTATAAAATAATTAAATGTATGAGATCCCGCTATTTAAATCGCGCATGTGATGTTGCGAAATGTCTCGTAAAAACCGCGCATTATTTTAATGATATCAGGTTATATCTGAATAATCAGTGTTGCCTCAGCTAAGTACATAGGCCCAGTTGATTTCTAATGAAAATAAGATTAATAGCAAGATACGAATACCTTTCATCTTTCTCTCCGATACATTTTTAAAACACGATCAAAGGTACAAGACTAAAAGCCTCGCGTTCAAGCACGAGATTCTGAGCTTTGCAGCTTCGATTTGTAGATTCTTCGAAGACTCCTCGATCGCGACTCGAAGAACCGTCGAGGACATAGAAGTGTCCACGTTGTCAAACTGTTAAATAGTCTCACAAGTTTCCTTCGCGAGAACCATCGCACGTCCGGATATAACAAACGTTCCTCACAATCGAGGTTCGCGAACGGGCTATATCGCACGTGGCTCGCCAGAGCCCGCCTTTTACGCGGCAATAAACGTCACTCGTCTCGTTGCGGACCTTCAAGGGCCAGGCGGCCAAGCCGCTGCGCCGGCGAATTTTCGCAGTCCGTGGAGCGTCTCGATCGGCTCGGAGTCGATAAATTTTATCGGAAAGAGATTCGTCGACGTCGACGGGGGCTGACGCGCCATCCGGAGATCGATACCGGCGCGCCGTGCAAATTAAGCGTTCTCGCACAGTTAATTTGTGGCACCATTTAGGATCTTATTGCGACGGCCGACATCTGGGCCGAATCGAGGCGGAACTCGGGCGAATTTAAATAAAAGCCGCTTCCGTTAGCTGTACGGAGTAAAATAGAGGATTCGTTCGTTCGCTCGCGTGGCCAAGCACGGCGACGGAAAAGACTCGCGCGCAATTTCCGTCGATATGCAGGTCGTTGCGAGTGCACGGGACATCTTTTTCGCGACAGATAGGAGACAAGCTGAGGAAAATACGGTTGTTTTAATCCTCGCACTGGGGTGCAATTGCTAAATCGACCGTCGCGCGGAAGATCCAGCGAAAACGGCGAATAGACAGCGAGTGAAAATGCAATTTCTTAGGGTAATAATTTTCTCAGGTTAATATTTTTTTTAACTGATAGGTTAAATTCACGTAGACCTCTAAAAGTCAATTCGTTTTATAAGGAATTGTTTGTGAAATTAGAAAAATTGTCAGCTCGAAACAATCGAAAGTAGAATAACGTTTTGCAATTGCTGTAAATTGCAAATCTGATTTAAGGTAAATGTTCCAATAGCCAGACATTTAACAATGCTAGTATGACTTTGCTTCATTTTTATAATTATTCACGGTTTTTCGTAATTTGCGTAGTGAATTGTAAAATGAAGTTTAAAAGCTTATTGCTGACGCATAAAAAACGTGAAAAGTGTTCAAATTATTTTAATAGTAATAAAAATTTTTAAGCGCAAAATGTTAAAGCCTACAGATGAAACAATATCCGGACGCTAACAATATTAAAAGCGCTTTTATAATAATTCTACATCATTTTAATTTGAATAAAACTTTGTTTATTAAACGAGAATACCAAAATAAAATGAAAATTATTTTAACAAGACAATTTTAGTCACCTATGAGATGGCGGAGTTTCTGCTAAATTAATAAACATCATTTGTTCCACCATGAATTTCTTGCCCTTGGAGTGAAATCTGTTTAGTGAAAAATTGACTATTAGATTGTGTAATCGTCGCGAAAAAAAGATTTGCAATTGAATTTGTGACTGAATGTTGAAAACGCACTATCTCACATTAGAATCCTATCTCATAATAAAGGACTTTCCTCTACATGTCCGGATACAGGGAAACCTCTGGCAATCGATACTCTTACCTTAATCTTCAATCCGTACATTTTTAAGCTCGAGGCGAATGACAATTGGCCGCAAAATTTTCGCTACCGACCGAAGAATTATCCAAGGAAACATCGGGTGAAATGAACGCGCGGATTGAACGGCGTGCGTACCGGAAAGGAGGCCGCATCCGCGGTTAGCAAGAAGCGCCGACGAAGGCGGAACAAAAGGGGAGAACGAAATAGCGCGCGCTAGGCGATTATAAAGTTTCCCCGTTCCCGAATGAGAGGACCACGCGCGTTCCAGAAATAACCCCGCGAAATTACTCGGTGCTGGTCCATGCAACAGCCGCGCGCGGGCCGGGTTGGCTCTTCCCTCCTCCTTCCGTCCCGCGCCATTCTCTCGCCGCCTTTGTTACCCCGAGGAGCAGCTCGGCGGCGGCGAAATGGCGGAATTGCAAAATAGCCGAACGATAACCGTACGGTAAGAGCGCGTGGCCGGGGGGTAATCCTCGTTCGCCGGGGGTATTGAGAAACCGTCGCGGCACGGCCTGGATATAAATATTCATTCGCGAAAGAGATAAACGCTCGTGCAACCATTCGCGAGTCGCACGGCCGTTTCGTACAGCCCTTACGAAGTGCGTCGACGAACGAAACGGAAGTCGCGCAATCAGCGGGAAAGACGCGCCGTTTCGCCGCGAATATCGAACGTTTTAATTAAGAGGCGGGACACGCGGAGTATCCGGAGTACGTAAAGCGCGCAGGCCGATATCTGCCGCATCCGTTTCATTGTCTCGTGGAATGCGCTATCTTTCTGTTTTACGCGAGTTTTCGCACCCCGGATTAAAAGGACGTTGACGAGTTGAGAAGCCAGGTAGATAACGTCGGGCCGGCGGCCGATATCCACTCGCCCTCGCCCTTTCTCTGCGAAAAGCACTTCTTCCCGACAAACTAACACCGAAGATCTGTATTCTAATGAAATAATAATTTCCAGTTGCAATCAATCGGCACGCGTTCGACAGGTTCGCCAAATAATTTATTACACCGTCTGTAAAGCCAATTAAAGTATCGGACAGCAAAAATAATCGTATCGATAATTGATTGTTGCATTTTAATCAATGGCCTGTAATTTACACTAAAATACCAATCAACACTCGATTGTTATCGATTAATAAATCATAAAAATAATCGATCCTAGTTAAATTGTCAGCCATTTGTCGTGGCACAATTATAATTTTTACCGCCATTTCGATTGAATAAATTAACATACGTTACACTACCGGATTCTAGTAGAGGCAATAACTTGGCATCATTTTATAATTATTACTAGATAGTGATTAATGAATAACGATACCAGACCGTCGATGCAATTCGTATTTGTGCATTATTTAGTGGATTTTAATGATAATTACTTAATTACTGATTCCAAATTATTTCACTAATCCAATTGCGAAAACAATCAATTGCATTGTAGCGCAGTCACAGCGAGACAATTTTAACTCTAATCGCAACGAGGACGAGCAATTGATCGCGCGACGAAGTCGCGTCGTTACCAGCGCAACGGCGGCGGGGGCGAAATGTTGAAGATGTCCGGGGTGTCAACGAGTACCCCTCACGGGGCTACTTACCGAGCTTAGCTTTCATGTCCGCCTTGTCCGCCGCCTTCCTTCCAGGCTTGCGTCCCCTCTTGCCCCCCTCTTTCCGATCACCGCGAGATCCCTCCTGCAAACAAAGGGACACGATACGGTTATTTGCGGGAGGAAATTCGTACAAATATTAACGCGATTAACGAAATTAACGTCGTCCCGCGCTTTCCTCTCTGACACGATCGAGACCGCGCGTCGAAACAGAGGACTCGGCCACTCGTTAAAACCAATCCATTTCGCAGCCGCCGATCGGCTTTCGCCGACCGCATGGTGGGGGACCGGTGAATAATTCTACCGGGGGTTGTTCATGATTAATGACTGCACAGTGGCGGTGTATTTTGCGCGGGGCGGGGGGAGGGACGGTGACAGATCTTGCGCGAGAAGCCGAGACGGCAGCATCAAAAATTGACGCGTTACAAAACGCGAAGCGGCCGAATTATTACGCGGCCTACCGAAACGAAAGCGCGCGCGGGGTAATTTACGCGCGCACACGCCCCGTAATGCAGGCTTGATCCGCGCGCGCGCGCCGGAGTTTCGCCCCGATTAATATCTTGAGCGAGACACGGCGGTGTCGCTTTCAATGGAAACAAAAGCTCATTGTGCCGCCGAGGAGAAGGACCGGTGGAGCCTGGAGGGAGTCCGCTCCAGTGAAAAGCTCCGGGAATGAAATCGTCTCCTCCTCCTCCTCCTCCTCCTCGCCCTCCTTCCCAATCGTAAACGCGAGATGAGCAATCGCCGTCCCTCGCCAGGTCCACGATGTACCTTTTTCTCACGACCACGAAAGTGCAATGAGCGTTATTCAATGCCCGCGGACGCGCGACCGAACGATGCCTAATAAACGTCCGCTTCGCCGGCGACACGGTTACTCAGCTTTTGAGCTTTATGGTCCTCGTAACCCGGTCCGTCGAGCGAAGAACAAGTCGTGAGCGAGCTACAGCCGCGTTTAACTCTTTGCATTTTTTTTTTCTTTCCACTATACCAGAATTCCCTCAGGTTTTATCCCTAGCAAGATTTAGAGGCGAAAAAAGGATCGCGATAGTCTATGGAGCGTCATTTTAATATCGCCTACATGTTTCAACGCTTTATTTACGACGAAAGAAAAATTACACTTATAATCGCCAGTGGTAATTAAACATTGAAACAGTAAGCTTATTATCACAAAACGTAGTAACAGTCACGGAACAAAGTAATGTAAAATATTACCTAAGTACGGAATTTTCCATTGCGTAGCCAACGAATTCTCAACGTTTTGTTGTTTTTCACTCGGCGCGGTATCGTACGACGATTAAGCGGGCCAACGAACTCTCAACGTTTTTTTTGTTGTTTTTCACTCGGCGCGGTGACGTACGATGTTTTTGCGTGCCGTCGTTGTACCTGAAGGTCGGCCGCGCTATCACTCGCTCGCCGAACGTCGAGCCGGCAGGCAGTGGCGAGAGTCGCTCCGTGCGTGGTTTTACTTTTGCGATATCGGTTTCCACGACTCGATCGCGACGAATGTAGGGATAAAACGCTATTGATTCGCACACCTTTATCAGTAACAAGTAATGTTCCTCGATTAATTATTAAGTTTCTACAACTCGTTTCGTTGCGGATTAATAACTACTTCTTTACCGCGGATTGTGCTTCCGATGCTCGCGTTGAATTTTATATCGCCAACTCAAAAGTGATCTCTCCATTATTCTATTCTTCCGAATCAAAAATGCAAGTTGTTTGAGTAACTTGTATGATAGAAAGTCGCGCGACATTTGTCGTTTGTTTCGCGGTATTTCACATCGCGTACGGGAGTGATCGAAATTTCGCGCGATCGAGAATTTTCGCGAGTGAGTGTTGTGTCAGTGCGACAAGAAAATCTGAGAGGATGAGCAGGTCTAGGGGAGGCATCGGGCAACGGCAGAGAAACCGTGAGGTAAGTGTCTTACATTTTTATTATATTTGCTACTTGTGCAAAATAAAGCATGTGCTGTGTTTTTATTTTATTTATGCAAATGATTCGAATAAGTGTCAGAGACAAAACCATACGTATACAATTTTGTGAATTTATATTTAAAAGAAAGACTTTTAAAGTATTCTATATAATTATTTTAATAAATATCTATTTTAAAAAATATAAAATATAAAGTATATTTAATGCAATAATTTCAATTTCACATAATTACTCTGTAATAATCATATACATATTTGTATTTTTACAGTTTACCATATATAATTAACGATGTACAACTCTGCTGTTGCGAATCGTATCAGTGAGTGATAAATTACTTTTTATTTTTTATGGACGTTGCGTATACAATTACTTATTTGCATGTATACAAATTCTTATAAATGTACAATGCTCAACTACAAACTGCGCGCGCAAAGCGCGCGTTTTGTCATTTCGAGTTCAATAAAATTTGTCAGTTGGGTGGACAATAATTAAGCTCACACCCTCAGAAAGGATTTCTGTTAACGAGACAAAAAATACACTTGACGCATTCATATTTCTCACGACCTCATTTAGTATAAAAATAAGACAATATAAAAATAAAATCAATAATTCTTATTCTCCTCTATCGAATTAAAATAGATTGACTTACTATATTGAGCAAGAGTAAGTTATGTGAATGAAAATTTATATATTCTTGCGTTTAGAATAAATTTTCCCTCCATCTTACAACGCACAAAGTTGGCACCACGATATTCAACAAAAGACGATGCATACTATTATTTGATTCTAGATTTTAGAATTTTTCATTTAAGATTAAAATATTCCTTTCCCCATAATAAATATGATTGGTGCTATATCGATCCTATTTTATGATACATTGAAGTTTAATAGCATTGGATCGGGAAATTTTTTCTGTGGGTGCACTGCTTTATTTACGCTTCTCCATTATCGTATTATACCGAGTATTTCAAAATTGGCGCAACATTCATGTATTCATAGACGATTCTTATTTCAAAATCATCGTAAGTGTTGTCTTAAGAGGCTAATATGGCTCTGTGAAAGATTAAAAACACATTAAGAGTATACTTTAGATGATCTTAAATATAAGAACGGACTATGAATACCGGCCTCAGACATGCTTGTACCTTGTACAACTTGAGATTGATCTTTATTTAAAAAACTGATTCTTATTGTCGATATAATATCTAATCGTTGTTTTGCAAGCGGGAAATTGAGTATGAAATCACGTTTCCTTAATTGCAAAGTGTGTCACTCGAAATTACTCTTCGACGACGTACGGATTCTCGACAAACTCCGCGACGCTTCATTATTAGACATAAAAGTCACTGCGTATCGCGCGGTCTTTCCCACCCCATGATTCCGCTGTAAAGAACATCATTTATGCAAAGTATACGTTTGTCGCGCGTACAAACCGCCCCAAGTCAAACGAACGAGCGACGCGTTTTACATTTTCGCGAAATGCATTTTCGCGCGGCGACTCATTTCGCCCCGCGACCGCACGGCGAGAAACGATTTCAACGCGGAATAATTACCTGGAGGAACAATTTCGCAGTTTTCGGAGCACGCGGACGTGCGGACGACACGCGCCAGATAGAACTTGCCCACGATCTTGCCCGACGAGCCGTTAAAATTTACACGCCCCTCGGGCGCGGTCGTCGCATACCGCGGCCCTTTAGATATGCATACGCGCTCAGGAGTGACAAAATACAAATTCCGCCCCCTTTTAGGACCGCTGTTTACCGCTACGACCTCTCAATCTTATCTGGTATTAAATCTCCCCGAATCCCGTTTCTCCCCCCCCCCCTCCGAGCACTTCCGGCTTTTCAAACCGGCTCTAACCACCCTCTTGTCGGCCACCGTCCCTTTCTCTGATCCGCAACTCCCCTTTTCCCCCAGGTCATTGTGCGAGATAATTGGAATTGATTTCCGCGTACAAAAAAAAATATACAGAAACATCATAACTTCGAAATCCGCGCGCAGAGAATTACGCAACAGTCTGTAAATCGAGAACGTAGCGTGCGCAAATAGAGGATTGTTCGCGGCCGCATTTTCGTAGTGTATTGTTGTTGCACCGACGAGACAGACGATATGGATGTAAACATCTCGTTAACAAATGTAATATCTTTTATAGTATCCCAGGAATATCGAGTTATCTGTCAGCCATATATTTTGTTTCCAAATACTACTTTTTAACAATAGACATCTGCATGCTAATTAAACAATAAAACTAACTGAGATTCCCTCCGGAATTCCGAAAATTGTTTTCCCTCTGAAAAATTTTCGCGATTTAACTTTTTAAAATGCTAACGGATTATTTTTCGATTTATTTTAGATAAATCTGGCTTTCAAACAAAAATATAGTAAAATTTGATAACCGTAAATGAATGTTGGAAAAGATTAAGAACATCGGCTTGTTAAGTAACTTTCAACTTTCAAGCGAATAAAAGTCCGCGCAACGCGCCCTCAAACACTTTATATTTGACACAAAATTATGTAAGCTCCAATTAATTATTATACTTTGCCTTTGTTTCGTTTCAAAACAGAATTTTTAAATGTTAGAGCAAACATGAGAGAACGCACATTACACTAAGTGCAAATTGCAACTCGGCAGGAATAAAAGATGCAGTGCAAGTTGTCCATAATGATGGACATTTCCCACAAAGAATCGCGAATGAAAGAAGACATGAAATATTCGGCAAAGAATCGTCCCTTGCACTGAACAGAGATTACATTTTCCTCTTTTTTATTAATTAAATGTGAATTTTTGACAAAAGATATCTCACAAACGTCTTGAAATATTCTTTAGATACACGTTGCCTGTAATAATGACTTTTGAAAAATCTTAGGCTGGTTCTACAATAGACGCAAGTCTCGAGTCTCAAGAAATCGACCAATCACAGCCAAATATAAGAAGAATAATCGATCGCCATTGGCCAATTTCTTGCGGCTTGTAACTTACGTCTATTGTAGAACCAGCCTAACAGTCGAATGTCGCTACAGAGATCAGACGTTACAAACGAGAGTAAGTTCAGAATTAGTATGACAAACCGAATGTCTCTACAATCACCAACGTATCTCCGTCGTAGAACACGGGTGATCCGCGGTTACAAACGTTCGGAATCTGCAAGATA